GAGCGGAAAAAAAGAGGACAGCTGCTACAATTATCGTGTAGATGCTAAAATATTAGGGCTTCCTGGGATTTTTTTGCCAGTCTTAAGGTAATTGGTAGTTTTCTTCAAGGTCAATTTCCTGGACTGATGCAAATATAACAAAATCTCCTATTCCACTAATAATAAAACAGTATTTCTGAAGAAAAACTAAAAAATAGAAATCCCAAAGCCCTAAAACCAGAAGGTAAATTAAAAGAAAGCATGAACAATATGTTGAAGAAAGAATTAGCCATAAACTTGGGATTTTTAAGCCTCATAGAAATGACAGAAAGAATCTGCTCTATGAGCTGCTCTGTCCTCCCTGCTGCGATCCCAGTTCCCAAATTTATGCTGGAGATCGAGTGCTCTCAGTGTTCAGGATGCCTGGAAAAAAATATTAACCCTTGTTGGCTCTGCTGCGTCGGGGTTCAGTCGCTGCCTCGCGCTCGCGGATACCGGCTCAATCCCATCATTTCACAGGACCAAAAGTCCCCCAGTCCCAGCAGGACGCGGACATTGGGAGAGTTCTGGATCCCAGCCCTGCTCCTGCTGATGTCAGTGCCGAAACAGCCTCTGACATCAGCGGGGAAGGGTGAGATGTCCAAGCTGTAAAACTTTCCCGGATTATTTCGAATAGATGCCGCCTGCGCGTTCCCCAGGCTGGAAGATACTCAGCTTGCTGGGAGCTTGCAAAATTAATTCGCACCACATCCAAAATCTTGTGGGTTTTTTTTTATTGTTTTTTTTTTTTATTATTATTTTTTTTTCGGGTTTTTTTTGGTTTGATACAGTAGCAGCTATGGCTCGGGGATACAGTTGGTTCCGTGCTGCTGATTGCGTATAAAGCCTGAGCAGATCACAACCAGACAGTGCATCACTTGGAACTAAACATAAATAGAGAAAAACAGAGCAAAAACGCATCCACATTCCCTCCCTTCCTTTTCCAGTGACTTTGGTAAGTAGTGAAAATAAAGGGGGGGGGAAAAAACCCTCTGGAAGAACGTGATAATGAACGTGCAGCAGAGATATTCGGCTCTTAAATGGTGTTAGATGAAACCAGCATCTGTTCAGCACCAGGGCCGAGCGTCCCCACGCCAGAACAGCCGCCGCCTCTTCGTTGTAGCTCTTGACGTTGCGGGTGCCGAGCAGCGATGCGGTTACGCCAGCGCTCACACGCGTGACGTGGACCCGTTGTCTACCAAATTCTGAAAGTGCTCATTGATTCGTTTCAGAATGGAGAACGTTCACATCACACGGGCGTTTAAACTTTCTGGAGACACCTATAGCACTCCAGGGTATGTTTCAAATTGCATGGGGAAGCCAAGGAAAATTAGTCAATTCCTGTGAGCGGGAAGGTACAAAAAAAATCTCCGTCAGGCTGAATATGTTTTTTTGTTCTTATATACCAGGGGAAAAAGCTGCCTGTAATTTGCAGCTCTAAAAAACAGAGAAACTGAAATAGGAATGGTGTATGTGTAACAGGAGGAGGTCACTGGTCGCGTAGCGAGGCACAGACCCGGCAGGTACCTGCATGTGTGGAGCTGAACTTCACAGTTGTTCCAGTCAAATGAACGGGATTAGACATTTTTCTTAACAAGTTCCAAGTAACAACAACAAATAATTTGTGGACAGATCTTCCCACTTTCCAGGAGCTGATTTTTGGAGCGGGTTTGTGCTTGGATGGACACCGGCAGCAGCGAGATGCAGAGTGGGAGCAGGAGTCCTCCGAGGGTTTCTTGACTGTGAACGTCAGGTAGCCCAGCCTGGACAACTTCTGTTTTCATTTTCAGGTGGGAGCTCCAGTTCTTCGCCAGTGACCTCCAGTGGTGGGACGCCCTCTCCTCTCAACCCCCTGCTTTCTCCATCGTGTTCACCTCCGACGTTTCACTTGTCAGCGAGCAACATCGGTGTGTCGTGCCCGGAGACCTACCTACACAATCTCAACGTGCCCCTCTACTACAAGATTTGTCCTACGAGCTTCTTAAGACAGCAGTCTCTCATCTTTCCAAGCCATGAAAAACTGGGAGGCGCCAACCCGCATCTTTTACCCCACCTCATGGTGGATATGCCAAAACTATCTTCCCTGGGCATAGCCAACCTGAAAAATGCTAAAGCTGAAGACTTGAACGGGCAATGTCTACAAGTACCCAGCTCTGCTAGTCAAATGCTGTATGGATTACATGCATCTGGAAACATTTTCCCATCAAGTCCCATTGCTCGGGAAGCACTTAATTGTTCTTTACATCCTCCATATGGCTTGTACGGTTACAACTTCTCCGTGCCATCCAGACTGATGAATGCAGCGAGCCATTTCAAAGTGAGTGACAACATTCCAGCTTCTCTGAGAGATGGCAGATGTAATCACTCCAACTGGCACCCGACAATTAACCATTGCCTTTAGTGGAATTATATTATATTATATTTCTAAGCATTGATATGTAAAGCAAACCTTTCCTTCCTTCATACCCAAGGGCTTGCTAGTTATGGACTGTGAAGTACTGCACGGTGCAGGACCGGTGTGTCTAGGCATTGAACTTTTCCTGTGGGCAAACATGTCGTGTTGTTGGGAGAGTGGAGAATCTGGGAGCGTGGAGGGTCTGAGATGATCCACAGCAAGGTGGTATCTGTCGGTAAGATTTAAGTCATGGTTGTAGGTTAAGAGCAAACTGTACGGTCACTGTTTTAATATTTGCACTCTGAAGTGGGAACGCAGATGCGGACATTTCTACAAATATGTTTTCCTGAAACTTTCTATCCAGCTTGCCCTTAGTTAGCTCGAAGCCCTAGTGAGCTTCTGCTCACCCTACTTCAGTTTTTCCACCAACTTCAAAAGGACTATTTGAGACCTCGAGTCAGCAAAGGAGCCGTATTTGGCCAAGTGCTCGAGGATGTTCTCAAGTTCCCTTGGCTTTAAGGGGTCCTAATTAACGACATGGAAGTGCCCTGTTGCTCCAGGACCTGGATGACTTGGTTATCAGAGAGGAGATGTAAATTCAAGTATCTGCTGCCGAGGTAAAGACAGACAGGATAAAAGATGGATGCACTCTTACCTTGCGGGGATGAAAAAGTGGACCCTGGTGCAGAGATGCCCCAAGAGCCCTCATCTCCACGCTCCTGTTTCCGAAGGTCAGCAGGAGGTGGTAATGCAGAGTGGCACCGGCGTTGACAACACGGTGGGAAGGAACGGAGGACAGGTTGGTCACACACCTCCTCCATGGTGAGCTGGATCCATGCTGGGGGCTGTGGATGAAACACCTCCAGGAGCCCTGCAGGACACTTCTCCCCTGTGCTTTCGGCTCCGGAGGACACAGAAGATCCACCTGGGATCGTGTCTGCCAGCCTGTGCCCGAGGGAAGGGGCAGGGATGCTCCTGGCTCCGTCCCCTGGAGAACGCAGATCCTTTCCAGAGATTTACAGCTCTACGGGTCCCAAAACATGAGATTTCCAATTCCTTCCAAAAGTCCTGTTTGTTTTGTTATAACCTGTGGATATTCTTGTTATTCCTGTAAATAATCTCTAGCTCCAAGGGCACAATATAACTCGCAATAAATCGGGGCACAGATTTTATTCTTTATTTGATCAATGCTCAGTCCCTACCTGAAGCCAATTTTATTACTTGGTATATGACAGAGATTTGAAAATAATGCTTGACTGGGACCGGCTGCATTTTGAGATTAAGACAGGAGAATCCTGGATTTACAAACAGCACGGCACTGTATAGGGTCTGGGTGCAGGTTTGAGAATCAAAATTGGCGTCAGAAGTCTGGTTTTATTTTCATCCGTAGCAGACAACAAATTAAGATTAGAACAAGCAATAACAAAAGCTGTTAAGACAACAAAAAGTCACACTTTTCCTTTCATGAGACTTTGCTAAAAATCAGCTGTTAGTATCCCTAATTTATCTGCTTTGAGTGTTCACAGAGGCCCCAGTGACACCAGTATGGAATGGTGGGCCCTGCTTGCCTCGTTAAACGGTCTGTACGACTGTAAAAATGAACAAACCTGCTTTTTCATGCTGTTCCTTAGCAGTTTATCTCGCTTTTTTTATTAAAACAAAAAAAAATGAAACTTTTTTTTTTTTCATTTGGGAGAGTCCTTCTTTCGGAGCCATCCCTCGTCATCGGTGGCAGGGGAGCTGTGACGGGCTCTGCAAAGCGCTGCAGATCTTTGCTCCCCGTGGGCTGGGTGACCCATGTGGTTATACTGTCGGGGAGCTGGAAAGCTCTTCCACATCAGTCACGGATTTGTGGGTGGATGCAGTGGGTAACTTCCAATTTTCCAAATGTTTGCAGTTGCGTAAGATATTCCAGGATTGCTGGCCACGAGCTGGGGATCCAACAGATCTGAGGTTACTTTCTATTTCCTTTGCCTTTATCTCCTGATTCATCCTTTCAAATACCACTGTAATAAATAAAAAAGATGGTGGTGGTTCTTTACGAGACGCATCGGTGCTCGCAGGCAGCTGGAGCTCTCTGTCCTGCTGCCCACGTTGTCAGCTCAAGGCTCCCAACCATCCCAGCACGGGAGCGTTTTCCAGACCCACGGTGGTAATTCAGCTGGATCGCTCATGCTATAACAGAGGTGGTTCTGCTTATACAAGAAAAACTGTGCCCAAAATAGCGGATAACCAGCACGTGGCGCCCCAGGGGGGCTTTTGAAAACGGCTGCTGGTGGGAGGTGAGCAGCAGAACTCCAGACAGTAAGTCAGAAAAATAAATCATTATTTATTAAACTCGAAACTGCGGGAATCGAGGCCGGTATTTCGAGAGAAACCACGCACCTGTAAATACAAACACGTTACACGCTGCCTTGTACTTCCTCCCATTAATATTGCTTGAAAACCCGTGGCAATCGGGAAAGTTCACAGTTCTTCAGACTTAGCGGGTGAATTCGAACACAAACCCGGTATTACGGTGCTGTTTTCAAATGGGAACAGGGGGAAAATAAAGGGTTTTTTTAAAGGTTCAACTAACTTGCTGAGCAATCTCAGTTATTAGTCGTTTGACCTTTCCCAAGAGGAGTTTGAAGTTACTCGGGAATATCCGATCCCATTTACACTCAGCAAATAAAACTGGCCGGACCAAGGACGCCGCGTCCGCGCTCGGCACTGGGACAGCTGTTTTCAAATGGGAACAGGGGGAAAATAAAGGGTTTTTTTAAAGGTTCAACTAACTTGCTGAGCAATCTCAGTTATTAGTCGTTTGACCTTTCCCAAGAGGAGTTTGAAGTTACTCGGGAATATCCGATCCCATTTACACTCAGCAAATAAAACTGGCCGGACCAAGGACGCCGCGTCCGCGCTCGGCACTGGGACATGGGATGGGCTGGGTGCTCGGGCACCAGGAGGCTGATTTAAAAAACCAAGGAGATAAAAAAAACCCAGAGATGATGTTTTCAATCAAAGTGCAGTTTACTATCCAATTTCACCCAAATTTAATCCGTCTCCTGGAGAAGCCAAACACGTAGAGGGAGCATCGGCTGTAGCTTTTGCTGATCGAAGTGCCTTGGCTTGCATTTGATCTGCTGAGGTTTGGGCCGTAATTAGATGACAATTTGTATCACAATTATGCAAAACAAACGAGGATTGGATCGTGAGACAGACCAGAACAAATAAGCCCCCAGAACATTTGAAACGCATCCAGTATCAAAGCGCCGCAGACGTGTGGCTGGGGCCGGGGGGGGACATGCTGTTCCAATAAAGCTGCAGAAAGGGAAAAGGGCGGTATCGGTTCCTGCAAAAGTTTCAAATGCTCATGTTTACAAATTTGTATTGCACATTAATATGTAAACACCTGCTATTGGAACCAGATGCCTCCGCAATATTTACATGTTCTTTCTTCTTAGTTTTGTGGGGTCTGTTTGTCTCCCAAAATACACAAAACACGCAGCGACTCTTTCAAAGCGTGGCTTGGCGAGCTAAATGAGAGCTACAGCATCTGAAAATATAATTTTAAAATCACCAGCACAAACAGCGGCTCTCCAGCCCCGGGGTGTGTTTTGGATATCGGCTGCAGGGGGACGCGTCGATGCTGCGGCCACGGAGTGCTGGAAAAAACAGAGTTTGATCAAGTCATTCCGAGAAAGAAAAGAGAAACCACCTTCTTGTAATCTGGATAAAAGCTTGGGACCTGTTCATTGCCTTTCTTCCACCCTGTTGATTCGCATTTTGGGGTGCAAACCCCGGGCACCCCCCGTTCTGCGCTCAGCTGTGCCTGTGCAAATCGCAGCCGCCCGGCGCCCGCGGGGTTAACGCCGGTGTCGGACAGCCTGGGTGCAGCAATCCAGGCTGTTGGGAATCAAACCGGCTGCAAGGACTTTTGCAGATGTTGGGTATTGCACTGTGAGCTGTTGGTGCTTAATAGAGCAGTTTCTGAATTTTATAGTTATTTATCAACCCCCCTCTCCCCCGTGTCCCTTCGGTGACGTTCACAAGAAGGACCCACCTTCTGCTTCCATCCCTCAAACAGTTTCCTCCCAGATTGCTTATCCCAAAGCACCAAGTTTTAAGTTTATTGTAGCAATTAAGTACGAGAAGTAGTCCAGGTTTTGTGAAAGACCCCTCGAGCTTATAAATCAAACGACACAGACCAGCGAGTAAAATTCAAGACCTTTCTGGAGAGGAAAACACCAGCGATAAGGGACAACCCCCAGCAAAAGGAATATTGGCTGTCTGAGGAGGCAGATCCTGAGCAGAACCAGAGCCGGGGGGCAGGATGGTTTCTGGCTCTCTGAAGTTTGGAGATGTATTAGATGCACTAAAGAGGCTTTCAGATATTTTCTCTTGTTTTAAAAACCTTACCCTTTCAGGTTTGGAGAGCCTGGCTTTTTGCAGAAATTCACTTTTTTCCTTCCTGGCGCTGACTCCAGATCTCATCTCAGAGCTGGGTCCCAGCTCCAACAATTTCCTCTGGGCATGGTTTCTGGCTCTCTGAAGTTTGGAGATGTATTAGATGCACTAAAGAGGCTTTCAGATATTTTCTCTTGTTTTAAAAACCTTACCCTTTCAGGTTTGGAGAGCCTGGCTTTTTGCAGAAATTCACTTTTTTCCTTCCTGGCGCTGACTCCAGATCTCATCTCAGAGCTGGGTCCCAGCTCCAACAATTTCCTCTGGGCCCTGCCCAGCAGCTGGGAGCACTTAGCAGCTCATCCGCGCGCCGGGCTCACCTGCCCGAGCCAGCCCCGACAGGTCCATCTGCTTCCCGTCAGGCCTGCGAAGAAAACGGGGCCTCTGCTCAAAGAAGAACAGCAGAGTAACAGACCTGTGTGGTTACTCAGAGTTACTCTGCTGTTACTCAGATGATGCTCCGGGGATGGATGCTGCCTTCTGCTTCGGCTGCC